GAAAGAGGGGGAAAGGAGCTATGTGTCTCTTCACGCCACTAGGGGGCGCGCTGGCCTTTCCAATGCGGTCACTCTGAGAGAGGCAGCGTTTTTGTCTTTGAGGTCCTGTCATTCTCTGTATAAACAAGTTACGTTCAAGTGTTTAGGATATAAATTACGACCATGCCGGCAGCCTCGGAAGGAATGTAAACACAGCACTGTGGTCGGAGCAAACTCTGAAACTGACTTCATAATTTATAGCAGGCTCTGAGTAGCTCAGTAGAAATGAAAAAAAAGCCCTATTTAACTGCAAATATGATAATGGAGACACACAAAAAAGCTTAAATCACTGCTTAATTTTGTGAAATACAGAAAGAAAGCATAAGGATTAGGAAGATAGTTAAGACTTTTTAAGACAATAGTTTGACTAGGGAGACTCCTTGGCCTGAAATTCACTTGGAATACAAAAACCTGTGTGCAGATATCTACTGAGTGGTATTAAATGCCTGGTAATTGTTTGGGAGAAAGACCTTTTAGAGAACCAGGGACAAAGGAGAGTTTTCAAAAACGAAAGCAAAAACAAAACAAAAACCCAGCCCCGAGTAGGAGAGGAAACCCAAAGCGTGACTGTGACTGTGGGAGAGAATCTCTACCCTTCTCAGATCTACCCTCGCCACTGCCCGGAGTTTGAAGGGCTGGTCAGACCAGATGAGGTGGGCTGGGTAAGAACAAGTCCTCCTGCTGAGTGGGCCCGTTTTCTCTCTTTGTCATTCATAGCTTTACCAGCCGTACTGCTAGCACTGGGAGGCGGGGTAAGAAAGTAACAGGGCTGTGAGGGGCTCCCCAAGAGAAAACATCAAATCCCTCCTGAAAAGGAAGGAGGCAGTATAGGGCACAAAGGAGAGAAGTGCATAGGTTAGTGGGTGCCAAAGCTAAGCAGGGTGAGCAAGGCTCTGAATTAGAGGGTGGAGGCAGAGAGCTGGTACAGAACATGTTGTGAGGGCCAGGTTCTGTTCCTCTCCAAGGAAATAAAAGAAACCAGGATGCTGGGTTCTGCCCACTGCCTTCCCCCTCTGGACTCTTCAGGATCTGACCACCAACTACTAACAAAATGGGATCCGCATCTACTCCAACCTTTGACTTGCAAAGGGGAAGCAGGTCGTGTTTTTTGGCACCTAATCCTTGTTGGCTGCTCAGCCTGGCCTGTCACTCCATGCTAGTAGGTAAGAGGAAAGAGCAAAAGGCAAACTCTCCCTGAGCACAGGAAAGAGAACAAAAAGGGCACTTCATTGCTTCAAATCCAACAAACTCTTGCCTTTCATTATCTTGCCTGGTTTTCTTTTAAGTTCCTTTCAACTTCTGGTTTTTGTTTAGTCAGAAAGAGCGAGGGTGAAGGAAAGAAAGAAAGAACAGAAAATGTTCCTTCTTCTCTTTCTCTTCTGAGAAGACCCACAATCAGAATCTGGCCTGTGTTACTCAAGGCGCAGACCCCACACCATGTCAATTACACAACTTGGGGGGAGAAGTGTAGAGTTGCATTGCTGGCTGGTGGAGACAACCTGGGGATTTGAGGATGCCTCGGAGGAAATAGTTCCCTAAAATAACTATTTGTTACATACATTTTATTGAAAACATTTTACATCAAAATAGTTTGGAAAACTGTAAAAGTATACATAAGTGCAAATATATCCTCCTTTTAAAATACAAGTGTGAGTATACATGAGATAAAAATATCCTTAAAATACTGTGGTAGAAAATAACCTTGTAAAAAACGTTGTATTGTCACAATACTGAAAACCGTGTTCTTAAACTACACACATTGTTTCTAAATACTTTCTTAATACTGTTCTTTGGCATTTATATCCAAAGGCAGTGTTTGGCAAAACAGAACTCCTTCCTTAGGTAGGCAATGAGATGCAGCTTTCTTGAAGTCTTGCGTTTAGCACTGCCTTTTTGAAAAGCACATACATTTTTATAGACAAAGAAAAACACACAGACAACTTGTCTGCATTTTTCAGACCCTGATTACTGAAGGCAAGGAAGATCCCAGAGTTAAATGCTTATGTTTTTCATGTGGTAACTTTTTACCATCTTCGCTAAGAAGTTGAGCTCTCAGCTCTTCCCCTCAGTGGAGCCTGCACACATTTAGGACATTACCATGCCAGGGCTTGTCCTTCTACCAATGGTAGATAAGTGTCAGTGAACACACAGGCCTGGGGATTCTAAGTGAATGGTGTGCTACTTACAGCTATGGGGTGCACTTTATGTGAGTCCACCTCAGTTCACGCCCCACCCCCCCAAAGGAGAAAGTGGCCTTGGCATAGCCTGTCTCCCTCCATTCACATGACACAGGGTTTAATATCCTGACAGACGCTCTGGTGATGGTGGTGGTGATAGTATGGCCCACTAGCAGAGGGATGAAAAGAAGAAATGCCGTTGAAGTTGAGGACGAAATCTTTTCTGTCACACACTGGGGTAGAGTGATGCTGGTACCGAGGCAGTCCCACTGAAAGAAGGAAGAAAATAAAAACTCTTTTCAGAAACAAATTTGCCCAGGTGAGGATGGAGCCTGTTAACTTTCAAATTTTAACTTAATTGGTAACTTAATTGGAATCTTTTTAAGGTCTATTGCTATAAAACTGGTAGAGGAAACCTAGCTCTGGCAGTTTGTCAAAGTTTTAAACGATAGGTCATAGGACAATTCTGGAATCATTAAATTTTGTTTTGATGTACCCACAAATACAGAGCCACAGAGTGCCTGTTCTCCCTCTAAAACAGGCTCTTTTTAAAAAAAATCCTCATCTGATTATAGGTTTTACTGATTTTAGAGAGAGGGGATAGGAGAGAGAGAGAGAGAGAGAGAGAGAGAGAGAGAGAGAGAGAGAGAGAGAGAGAGGCATCTCTATCCATCAGTTGCTTCCGTATGGGCGTCCAACTGCAAGCCGCAGCTCGGTATGTGCCTGGGGACCTTTCTGTGCATGGGAGGGTGCTCTAAACAACTGAGCTACACCGGCCAGGGCTACACCGGTTCTGCGCCTAAATTCCCCTATGAGTCCTCACAGAGGAGCATGGACACTGGGACAATCCGACCCAGTCTCTTGTTCCAGGTCTCTGAGCACAGGGCTTCTTCCAGAACCCAACCCCCCACACCAGAAACACTAGTGTCGCCCTCACATTTTGTTTCCCAACTAACTGGCCGGGTCAGAAAAGCAGGCCACAGCAGGGATATTTCCTGTGCCTTAAGGAGGGACAGAAAACAACCCCAGCACTAGAGACAGACTGGGGAAAGAAAGCATACATCTTCATCTTCGTAGGTCCTGAACGCCTTACACTTCCTCTAGAAAGCCAACACTCCACGGACAGATAAAGCCCTCCCACAGGAGCTCAGCTGGAGATTCTGCTACCCTCGGGGTGTCTGGCAGTGCAGGGAGGCCCTCAGAGAGAATGGAGAAGGCTGGCACTCCTCTTCCCCGGGGCTGCTCCTCGTCCAAGAACCAGAGCCACTGGGCGCCAACCAGCCACTGCCCTTTGCTTTTGCTTTCTCCTTGTGTGCGAGCCCTGGGCGCAATGGGCCAGTGGTGTCTGTCTCGAGCTGGGACCTGGGCTCCTCCCGTACAGGGCCTGTCTCCGGGCTAGGTTGGGTTAAGCCTGTTGGCCTGAGTCTTTCTAGTAACCCGTGCGGTGTGGGAACCATAGGTGCACATTGGTGCCAGACCTGATTCCGTTTTTGCGTGCGTGAAAATCAGAACTGTCGCCCGCTGCGCGTGTGCCCTGCTCGCATCGCCTGGGCCTGGCAGCATCCCAGCTCTATCGAGAAGTCAGGTTGCTAGATAGCTGGCCACTGAACCTATTGCCGGGTGACACCTAATGTTGCCAAACATGCGCTGTAGTGCTCTCAAAGCAGCAACCAAGCGTCCCCGATGTGCGCGCATGGCTCTGCACACAGGTGCGCTCGCCCAGCAATTTAGAGCACCGAGCAGCGCCATGGCGCAGTCGCTGGACCCCTGAGCGAGCGCTCATACCTCCACGAAAGACCGCGGCCAGCGCTTTCAGGTGACGGGAAGTATGATAACAGCCCTGGCTCCTTTCTGAAAGGCTCAAAGGATTTACCGAAGGGTGCAGAGCCTCTCTGAGCACCACCCGGGCCTTGGCCGCCCTATCCCGAGTGGGGAGGCGCACACCGCGTGGGAGTGCTGGGAGAGATCATGCTGTGTGTGTGTTTTTTTTTTTGTGTGTGTGTGTGTGTGGTGTGTGTGTGTGTGTGTGTGTTGTGTGTGTACGCGCGCGCGCGCGCGCGCGCGCGCGATCGCTGGGGTTGGGGTGCGCCTGGGTCCCACAGCCTCAGCCCTTCTTAACCTCCCCGCTGCTTCTCTCTGGGCTTGGGTTTCAGACTCTCAGTAGGTAGGCCCCGCCCCGGTCGGGAAGGCGGCACATTCCCAACCCGCAGGCCGACGCGCACCGCCGCCTGCGAGATGCCAACAAGCACTGGGGCAGCGGGTAATAATTCAGAGGTACCGGAGCCAGAGGGCCTGGGAGGAAGGCGCAGTGTCCCGTTCTGGCTTGGGCCGAGCCATGGCTTCCTTGGCATTTCCAGAGGTCATTCGAGGCTCCCCGGGGAGGCGAGGCCCGCTTGCTCCGTTCTCTCCAAGACAAAGAGTTGTGTTTCCCGGCCCCCGCATTTCTGGGGGCGTCTGCGTGCCCCCTGCGTGTGGGGTGGGGAGAGGACGGCCACTCAGAAGAATCAGAAGTCTCTTTCCTGAGTGTTTTCTTGTTTTTGATTTTTAAGGTACTTCTTCACCGCGGCTGCGAGGCCTCAGAGCCTGAGTTCACATTGGGCAGGCCCTGCCAGGACTCCAGTGGACAACTGGGCTCCGCCTGGGGTGGGCGGTGATTGACAGCCAGTCCTCGGGGATTAAAAAAATAAGAGGGGCGGGTTGTCTGTATTGGTTACTTGCAGAAATTCCCATAAAATTGAACAAGACTCTGCTTTCAGTGGGTTAAGTCAGGCTAAAATCCTCTCCGGTGTGGTCCTGCCGAGACTGTCTTTGTTTAGTTAACCTCTGAGACCCGCATTTAAAAGGCCTATTTGGGAAATTTCACCATTCAGGGAATCAACATGTTTTGCCCATTTCTGGGCTTCCCTTCTCCCCTCATGCTCTTAGGGCACACGATTCACGAACATATAATGTATGCATTATCCTTCCTTCCATTTTCTAATTGGGGGTGGGGAGGCAAATGTAAGCCAGAGCACCAGTTGATGGGCAGCCCAGCCGGATTTTAATCTGCAGCCACGGTGCCGCAGAGGAGGTTAATATAAGAGAGTTCAGCATAACCGGTTTGGCTCAGTGGATAGAGCATCAGCCTGCAGACTGAAGGGTCCCAGGTTCGATTCCGGTCAAGAGCATGTGCCTTGGTTGCGGGCACATCCCCAGTGGGGAGTGTGCAGGAGGCAGTGGATCGATGTTTCTAGCTCTCTACCCCTCTCCCTTCCTCTCTGTAACAAATCAATAAAATATATTTTTTTTTTAAAAAGAGAGAGTTCATCTCCACTTTCTTGATAAACCTGGCTAAATATTCAAAGTTCTTCTCCATCCTATCTGTCCCCTCCCACTGACCATTTTGGCAAATCAATAAATTTTCATATTCCTTGACCAACTCAATTTACACCAGCAACACAAGTGTTGTCCAAGAGGCAGGCATTTCTTAAGGGAGTCATAATGTGGACCTCAGGTCCTGCTGACCTAAGACAGACTTAAGTGTCACCAAGGTGGGTCAAGGGATTCAATCTGTGTGGGGAGGCAGGAGACTCAACAGCCTGTGAAAGATCCTGGCATCCTACTGCCTTCCTCTCAGTCCTTCTCTTTCTCTCAACACCTTCTCAAGTGCAGCTCCTCTCAACCTACACCCTCATAATACAGAACTGTATTTCTGATATTTTCTTTTGGGCAAATGACACGAGGAAGCAGCTACCGCTCCTTGGCCAAAGTCCCCCCAAACCACATGCTTTCTCTCTAAGCTAAGTCAGGCCTGAGACTTGAGACCTGCAGTCCATAAGGTCACCAGAGACCCTAGGCTGGCGCCTTTGCGCCACCCTCCTAGGAATGTAAATTCGAGAGGTCCGCCTCTGGGCTAAGGGTATGGGGGAGGAAGGAATGAACCTAATCCTCTTCCCTCCATGAATAAAGTGCCAGCTTCCCCCAGCATCAGCTTCTCCCAGCGCCTTCAGACCCCTTAGGCTGCCGCGATCGGCTGCAAGTTGCAGTAGCCTTGGAGCCTGGAGGCCTAGAGGCGACGCCCCCAACGGGCGCGATCCGTTACCTGACAGCTCTTCGCGGGCGTTCTGGTGCAGGTAGCTCTGCTCCAGCGAGTAGGAGGACATGCTGGAGTGCAAGCCTGCGGAGGCCGCGGGGTTGCTGCTGGGCGTCAGAGCGGCAGGCTGCTTGAGGTAAGGCGAGGCGCCGGGAGAGCCCCAATGCGCCCCTGGGCGCGTGTAGGGCGAGTGGCACTCGATGGCGCTCGCCAGGGCAGGGGACGAAGGCACAGGGCTGCTGCTGCTGTCCGGGCCGTAGTCCCCACCGCCGCCGCCGCCCCCGGCCGTGCCTACACCTCCAGGCCCGGCGGGCACGGGGCAGCTGGCCATGTAGGTGGAGCCCGGGTTGGGTGACATGTGCGGGACGTGGTGGTGGTGGTGGTGGTGCGGATGTGCGTGGCCCGGCGCACCCGCGCTAGCGTCGTAGCCCCCGGGCATCATGTCAAGGCCGCCGTAACCGCCTTGTCCGTGGCAGCCGAGCGGCGCAGACGGGGGTGCCTGGAAGTCGAAACTCTGGGGCAGCAGCGAGGCTCCGAAGCCCAAGCCACTCACCACGCGGTGGTACATGGGCTTGAGCGCCTGGCACTTCCTCCTGAAGCCGCGCGGCCGGCGGCGGAACGAACCCTCCTCGAACATGAACTCACTGGCGGGGTCGATGGTCCAGTAGTGCCCCTTGCCGGGCCGCCCCAGGCCCTTGGGCAGCTTGATGAAGCACTCGTTGAGCGAGAGGTTGTGGCGCACGGAGTTCTTCCAGCCCTGGTAGGCGCCGCGGAAGAAGGGGAAGCGCGCCTGCAGGAACTGGTAGATCTCGCTGAGCGTCAGGCGCTTGCTGGGCGAGCTCTGGATGGCCATGACGATCAGCGCGATGTACGAGTAGGGCGGCTT